CCTGTGATCTGTTGATGACCAAAGCCTGTGTGCTGGAAGTGAGGAGGACTGGAAGCCCTTGCTGAGGAATATCATCCATGACTGAGGTGTTAGTATTGGCTTAACATCAAGAAAACAAAGATCCTCACAATTGGACCAATCGACCACAGCATGATACATGGAGAAAAGATTGACGTTGTCAAGAGTTTTATTTTACTTGGATATAGCCTTATCAACACTCATGGATGCAACAGTCAAGAGAGCAAACGACACAGTACATTGAGCAAATCTTCCACGTGAGTCTTCTTCAAAATGGGAAAGAGCACATACCATATATCCTTGAGGATAAGCCAACCAGAATATCAGCTGAGGCACCTAATTTTACCACAAAAACGACACTAAAAATGTGCTGAAAAACTTGGCTTATGCTCGAGTATATACGGCATGTCGCTTTGAGGTCTAAGGCACCCTGAACCCAGCCATAGAACTTTCCGTTGCCTCATTTGCATTTGCAAGTTGGGACCACAAATAAGGAAGGTTGAAGAATAATGGATGCCTTAGACCTCTGGTGTTGGCGAAGAATATGTAAAGTACCATGGACAGCCAGAAGAATAAAACACGTCTGTCTTGGAGGAATGATGGACAGATTGTTCCTTAGGCATGAGGTTGGTGGGATTTCATTTCACATACTTTGGACATATGATCAGGAAAGACCAGTCCCTGAAAAAATAAAGGAAAGGGGGACTGAAAAAGTGGAAGAATTTCGATGAGATGGAGTGACACAGTAGTTGCAACAATGGGCTGGAGCTCAAGAGCAATTGTGAGGATGGTGACGGACTGGGCAGTGTCGCCATGAGTTGGAACCGAGTCACTGAGACACCTGACAACAATAGCAGGTGGGCTAGCGGTGGCATGGAGGAAGCAGAGGTAACCCTGCAAGTCACCAAACACTCTCACAAATGGCCTAATTTTCAGTACCAGTTAGTCAAGGTAATACTTTGGCTTCTGTCCTAGGTTCCAAGAATCTTTTTCATAAAATGCCATACACAGCCTAAACCAGACCTTCTTTCTTGCTTTTGTATTAATAAACAGTTTCATCGGGGCATAATCCAATTTAAGTATAATCATTGCCACAATCAATTTTAGAAGATTTTTCCTTTTCTTGTACTCCTTGTTAGTAGCTCCCCATTTCTCCCCACCCTCCCTGGCATACCCCCAAGAAACCATTCATCCAATTATTATCTCAAAAGATTCACCTATCCTGGATTTCATATACCGAAAAAACACAAAAATACAAAATGAAGAGTTGAAAGAGCTAACAACAATAACAAAATAAAAGAGCCAAAAAAAAAACCAGTTGGGAGGAAAAAAAGAAAATATTAAAATCTAGAATAGCTTAACGATGACAGACCTTTCAGAATGATCTGCTTCTGGTTAAGGGGTGAAATTTTCAATAAGTGAATCAGTATTTAAGGGAGAAAAGAGCAAAGGAGGCTTTCATTCAAAACGTGGTGACCATAGGCCGTGGGGTGTTTGTCTCACTCTGAGTGAGTGGCTTGGAGGTGGAAAGAAGTCCATGCCTGAGAGACTCAGCCTCTTGCTGTGGAGATGGTGGGTCCACTGCAGCAAGAGAACAGTGGCTGTGCATGAGATAAACCCCACTACTGTTGAGATGACCCCAACTCACCGTGACCCCGTAGGGTAGAGTAGAACCTCACCATAGGCTTCTCAGGGTTGTAAATCATTCATGAAGCAGACGGACACATCTTTCTCCCCAGGATCAAGTGGTGGGTTTGAACCACTGACCTTTCTGTGACCAGTTGAGCACTCAACCACTGCACCCCCATGGCTTCTTGCATATGTAATGGTGAAGGATTATTCTACGAAATCTCCGATGTGCCGTTCACTGGCTGTTTGTCCTCCTCACCAACTTTCAAATGCCAGCGAAAGGAGAACTTGGCTGGAGGTCACTGGATTTCTGTCCAGAGACAGACAACTAGGAGTGGGAGGTGCGTAAAGAAGAAGCCTCGATGGTGACCCAGCCCCTGAATACCCCAAGGGATTTTCATTTACATCCCTATGGATTCACAAATCTTCTCTCAGCCGAACTCTTATCATCAGCGTTCAACGTGAGTGACCCCAACATCACAACAGGAACATCCCTTCCTTTGGCTTCTGGGACAAGAATTTCCACGACTTCTTGGTTGGCAAAATTCTACCATGCAATCTCCAGCTTCATTTCTAGGTCCAAGGTCATGTTTTCCAATTACTAATCCATCCTCTTTGTTTCCAACGTTCCCAATTCAGTTACCAGGAATTTCTCATGCATCTTGATTGCATGCTTGATTAATTTCAGACTGAAGACTTGGGTAGAAGTCTTCAACTTCTTTATGACTGACTCTGGTTGGTGTGTACATTTGAACGATAGTGATAGTCACAGGTCTTCCTTGTAGGCGTGCAGATCTTACTCTGTCACATGCAGTATTGTACTTCAGAATAGATCTTAAAATGTTCCTTTTGATAGTACATGCGACTCCATTGCTCATGAATGTGTCCTTCCCAGCATAGTAAACCACAGCATAGTCTGGTTTAAAATGGCTAACGTCAGTCCATTTCCGCTCAGAAATTCCTAGGATCTTGATCTTTATGTGTTCCATTGCATTTGTGACAACTTCCAATTTTCCTAGATTCATACTTAGTACATTTCATGTTCTTACTGCTAATCGATGCTTGTAACTATGTCTTTGAATTTTGAGTCATCAGCAAGTGAAGGTTCTGAAAGCTTTACTCCACTCACATCATTAAAGTCAATTGTGCTTTGAAGAGGCAGTTCTTCCTCATCTGCACTTGCAGCCTGAGGGCTATCCAATCTGAATTTAATTTCTTGGACTATATCATACATGGCTCTCATACTATTCACAAAGTTTTCCGTGTCTAATCCCTCAGAAGGAAGAAGCCCATTCCTTGTTCCCCATCTCATTTTAGTCTGCAATCTCTGCTGAAACCTGTTCATCAGGAGTGATCCTACTGGTAGAGCTTCTAGCATCGCAGTAACATGGACACCATCACAGGATGACAAACTGACAGATGAGTGGGTCTTGCTCCATGCCACCTCAAAGTGATAACTTCCAGAGTTCCCTCTCCGGCAAGGTCACGATCTAACTGAACATGCAAACCATAAGGACAGGGATTATCCAAGAGTTCTTACTCTCCTTCATGACCCACAGCCATCATCCACCAAGTCCTTTTAAGCCGAATTCCTAAAAATCCCCTGATTTCATTAGCCGCTTTCCTTCTCCACTGCCATCATCATGATATGCCTACATGACTCTTCTCTGGCCTCCTAGCAAGTCTCCACACTGCCACCCTCCCCCCCTTGGGTACGTTCTCCACACAGAGAATTGAATTCTCTATGGTACCAAAAATGTGATCAGAAAATACTCCTGCAGAGAACTCCCTAATGCCTGCACATTGCTGCTATAGTAAAGCCCAGATCTCAGAAGATGCTCATGTAGCTCTGGAGCTTTACTTTGACAAGACCCCATCCGACCACCCTTCCATGCCCTAATGATACTGGGCTACTGTTAGATGCTTGAGAATCCCAGGTCCTCTTCTAGTTTGGAAACGTTGGAGATGTGGAGCCTTTTCAGAGCTCTTGCATTTCACTTCCTCCCTTCCCTTTCATTTATCACTTACTATTGATCCTTCCTTCCTTCCTTCGATTAAACTGCACATATTTGAGACTACATTCCCAACCTACCTTACTAAGGTTAATACTCATATCAAATCATGTAACTCCATTTATTCATGTAACAAATGATGGGTAACATTGCAAAGAATGGGAATTCTGGAACACTTAAAATGTGTTCATACTGAACCAGTATATAGCCCAAGACTCAGTGATCTGAATAGGACAAGAAGATGTTTTATGGTTTGAAATCAAGCAAGGTATGCATCAGAATTGTATCCTTTTGCCATATTTATTCCACTTGTATGCTGAGTACATTACCTGAGAAGCTGGACTCTCATAGAAAAATGCAGCACTAGAATTTGAGGAAGATGCATTAATGATCTGTGACATGCCCATGACATGTCCTTGCTTGCTGAAAGTGAAGAGGACTTGAGGCACTTACTGATGAAGATCAGATACTGCAGCTTCCACAATGGGTTACACCTCCACGTAAAGAAAACAAAATCCTCATCACTAGACCAATATACAACATCATGATAAATGGAGAAAAGATTGAAGTTGTCAAGGATCTCATTTTAATTGAATCCACAGTCAACTTTCTTAGAAACAGCTTTCAAGAACTCAAATGATATGCTGCATTGAGCAAATCTGGGGCACAAGAGTTCTTTAAAGCATTAAAGAGCAAATGTGTCACTGAGGACCTAAGCCATGTGTGGCAGTTACATCATATCCTGTCAACTTGCGAAGGGGTGGAGTCTAGCCTGTCAATCAGAGCATAACCAATGAGACCTCTGTGTGGGCATGGCCTTCTCCTGAGGATTCTGGGAACTCCTATCTTCCCCCCAGGAGGAGGGGCACACATAGACTCTCTACTCCATCTTCCTGCTGTCAAGCCACATGGAGTGATGCTGATGGAGGCTGAGCCCTGGAACTGGAGGAACCACATGGAGACCCATGCCAGTGCTGAGATGCTTCCACCACAACTGGATCCACAAAACTTTCTACCCACTGGTCTGTGATCTTCCTGCATTCAGTATCATTGCATGGCTCTGTGAGTCTAAAAAGAAATGCATGGGCTAGTATTGACATATAGGCTAATAAGGGACTTATGGACTTGATCTGGACTGGGCTGGGATGTTTTCATAATGTACAATTGCTCTTTATTATACACATGTAAGTGTCTCTGGATTTGTTTCTCTAGTCTACTCTCTAGCCTATCCGGACTAACACACCGTGTTATTTCCAATTGCCCCATATGCATGTGAAAGTTGAACAATGGATAAAGAAGACAAAAAGAATTAGTGCCTTTGAATGAAAATATCAGAGAAGAATACTAAATATATAATGGCCACTTGATCACAAAGATGATTTTCCCAGAGGAAGGCTTATGCATTGCACTCTGGGTTTGCTGACCCCTGTGATTTCAACAAATGAATGTGGGAAACTCGACAGCAGAATTTGTGATAGTTGGGTTGGGGACTGCATTCACACTCCTCCCTGCAGGAATATATATATATATATACACCATGGCCAGCCAGGAGAATGAAAAAATGTGTGTTTGAAGAAGTCTAGCCAGACTGTTTCTTAGAATGGAGGATGGTGACACTATGCCTTATGTACTTTGGTCACGTTATCAGAGGGACCAGTTCCTAAAGAAGGACATCATGCTTGGTAAAGTAGAGAGTCAGTTAAAAAGATGAAGACACACACCCCCCTCCAATGAATACACTGTAAGTACAACGATGACCTGAAACCTATCAACGATGATGAGAACAAGGCAATGCTTTCGGTTGTACATAGGGTTGCTATGAATTAGTACAGACTGAACGGCACCTAAGAATGACAAAATTCATTTAACAAGCATTAATTGTGTAGTGGGGGAGACAGACATTAGATAAATAATCCTGCGTATGGCCATGATCATGTATCTTGTGATGACATGTCCCACAATCAAGCAAATTCAGACAGACAGAAAGCAAATGGGCAAGTGGCTCTTTTCCTTTGCAGCTGGCGCATCCTGCCCATCCCATGGGTCTCCATGGCAACACTAAGGCATCCTATTGTACACCACTGAACTTCTTGCACCCCACTCCAGCGGCGTTTTAGTAGGACTTTACTGTATTATCAATGGCTACAACAGTAGTAGAGAAAAAGTAAAGGGAATCCCCACACAGTGGGGTATCGTGATACAAAGCAATAAGCTGCCTTGTGATGGAAAGACAGGAGAACCTTAAACTCACATTGCCCAGTGGAGGAAGCCCGAGGGAAAAAGCTATACAGGATGTGATTCCGACTAGGATGGCATTCTGAAAAGGGCAAAGCAACAGAGACAATAAAGAGATCAGTGATTGCCAGGTGCCCAGGGAGAGGGGAGAAGCACGAGACCGTGCAAGCATGCTGCACGAGTCTGTCGGGCGCCCATCAGACATTATGCTCTTGTCCAAATGTGCAAGACTGAGCAACACACACAGGGAGCTATAATGGAGACGGTAGTTAATGGGAGCGGACGGATGTCGCCTCGTTCATTGTGACAAAGGAGCCCCAGGAAGGCAAGGTGTGGACCAGCCAGCCCACAGGGAAGACAAGAGGGGTGATGGGCACGCTCTGTACTTGCACTATTGGATTTACTAAAAAGTCCGGTCTGTTTCTCTACAAAGTAAAGGGAGTGAAGCTTTTGTATCACGGAGGCTAGAAAGCACTTTGAGCTGCTTGCTGGAGGACTGTCGTCCCTCGTGGACATTGATTCGTGTAACCGAGGCAGGGTTGGGGCCTCTGGTGGCCCAGGTGCGTCAGGTGCTGAAGGCACAGAAAGGAGAAGAGGAGGTTCTGTTCTTTGAGGAGCTTGTCCTCCAAAGGCTACCAAATAAACACTCCGACAAATCCACAAACACATCGGAAAGAAAAACGAGCCTTTTCTAGGCAACAATTCTTTTTTGGGGGGGGGCGCGGGGAGTGGCACAGATTTCTCCTGCTCCAGACACCAGTGAGTTTTATGATTACAGTTTAGGTCCCTTCTTTCCAGAAATAGCAACCTCCCGTCCCTCTTAAAACCAGTGCCGTTGAGTTGATTCCGATTCATCTTTCTCTTATGAAGTCACTGAACCGCTTCCTCCTGTGGTTACAAGTCCAGTGTTTAACTCGCAGCACCGCCGGGGCTCCTGGTCCCTAAGAAAGACACCCACCAATGTCTTCTCCACTCAGGCACAGCCTCCTGTTGTAGGTCATGGGCATCCATCTTGGGTTCATTCCCTCAGCAATTTATTTTTTTTTAAATCAATT